GTATAAGGTAAGAGCTGATGATCCAGTTTCATTCTTCTATATGTGGCTTGCCAATTATCCCAGCACGATTTGTGGAATAGGGTGTCCTTTCCCCACTTTATGTCTTTGTTTGCCTTGTCAAAGATCAGTTGGCTGTGAGTATTTCGGTTTATTTCTGGGTTCTCTATTCTCTTCCATTGGTCTATGTGCCTAGCTTTATATCAGTACCATGATATTTTGGTGCCTATGGCCTTATAGTATACTTTGAAATCAGGTAATGTGATGTCTCCAGATTTGTTCTTTTTGCTTAATCTTGCTTTGGTTATGCAGGCTCTTTTTCACTCCCATATAAATTTTAATTAATTAATTAATTAATTAATTATTATACTTTAAGTTCTAGGGTACATGTGCACAACATGCAGGTTTGTTACATAGGTATACATGTGCCATGTTGGTGTGCTGCACCCATTAACTCGTCATTTACATTAGGTATATCTCCTAATGCTAACCCTCCCCCCTCCCCCCACCCCACAACAGGCCCCAGTGTGTGATGTTCTCCTTCCTGTGTCCAGATGTTCTCATTGTTCAATTCCCACCTATAAATGAGAACATGCAGCGTTTGGTTTTTTGTCTTTGAGATAGTTTGCTGAGAATGATGGTTTCCAGCGTCATTCATGTCCCTACAAAGGACATGAACTCATCCTTTTTATGGCTGCATAGTATTCCATGGTGTATATGTGCCACATTTTCTTAATCCAGTCTATCGTTGATGGACATTTGGGTTGGTTCCAAGTCTTTGCTATTGTGAATAGTGCCGCAGCAAACATACATGTGCATGTGTCTTTATAGCAGCATGATTTATAATCCTTTGGATATATACCCAGTAATGGGATGGCTGGGTCAAATGGTATTTCTAGTTCTAGATCCTTGAGGAATTCGCCACACTGTCTTCCACAATGGTTGAACTAGTTTACAGTCCCACCAATGGTGTAAAAGTGTTCCTATTTCTCCACATCCTCTCCAGCACCTGTTGTTTCCTGAGTTTTTAATGATTGCCATTCTAACTGGTGTGAGACGGTATCTCATTGTGGTTTTGATTTACATTTCTCTGATGGCCAATGATGATGAGCATTTTTTCATGTGTCTGTTGGCTGCATAAATGTTTTCTTTTGAGAAGTATCTGTTCATATCCTTTGCCCAATTTTTGATGGGGTTGTTTTTTTCTTGTAAATTTTTTTGAGTACTTTGTAGATTCTGGATATTAGCCCTTTGTCAGATGAGTAGATTGCAAAAATTTTCTCCCATTCTGTAGGCTGCCTGTTCACTCTGATGGTAGTTTCTTTTGCTGTGCAGAAACTCTTTAGTTTAATTAGATCTCATTTGTCAGTTTTGGCTTTTGTTGCCATTGCTTTTGGTGTTTTAGAAATGAAGACCTTGCCCATGCCTATGTCCTGAATGGTATTGCCTAGGTTTTCTTCTAGGGGTTTTATGGTTTTAGGTCTAACATTTAAGTCTTTAATCCATCTTGAGTTAATTTTTGTATAAGGTGTAAGGAAGGTATCCAGTTTCATCTTTCTACATATGGCTAGCCAGTTTTCCCAGCACCATTTATTAAATAGGGAATCCTTTCCCCATTTCTTGTTTTTGTCAGGTTTGTCAAAAATCAGATGGTTTTAGATGTGTGGTATTATTTCTGAGGGTTCTGTTTTGTTCCATTGGTCTATATCTCTGTTTTGGTACCAGTACCATGCTGTTTTGGTTACTGTAACCTTGTAGTATAGTTTGAAGTCAGGTAGCGTGATGCCTCCAGCTTTGCTTTTTGGCTTAGGATTGACTTGGCAATGCAGGCTCTTTTTTGGTTCCATATGAACTTTAAAGTCACTTTTTGCAGTTCTGTGAAGAAAGTCATTGGTAGCTTGATGGGGATGGCATTGAATCTATAAATTACCTTGGGCAGTACAGTGATTTTCACAATATTGATTCTTCCTATCCACGAGCATGGAATGTTCTTCCATTTGTTTGTGTCCTCTTTTATTTTGTTGAGCAGTGGTTTGTAGTTCTTCTTGAAGAGTTCCTTCACATCCCTTGTAAGTTGGATTCCTAGGTATTTTATTTTCTTTGAGGAAATTGTGAATGGGAGTTCACTCATGATTTGACTCTCTGTTTATCAGTTATTGGTGCATAAGAATGCTTGTGATTTTTGCACATTGATTTTGTATCCTGAGACTTTGCTGCAGTTGCTTATCATAAATTTTAGAATTGATTTTGTAGTTTTATGAAAAATTATGGTGGTATTTTGATGAGAATTGCATACATGTACAACAAATAGCACTATGAATGGAATAGTATCTTACATCTCAATACTAATATTTAATTCAGATGGCCTAAATGCTCCACTTAAAAGATACAGAATTGCAGAATGGATTAGGATTCACCAGCTATCTGCTGCCTTCAAGAGACTCACCTAACACATAAAGACTCACATTAACTTAAGGTAAAGGGATAAGAAAAATATTCTGTGCAAAGTGAGCCAGAGTAACTATTCTTATATCAGACAAAAGAAACTTTAAAGCAACAGAAGTTAAGAAAGACAAAGGGGGGCATTACATAATGATAAAAGGCCTTGCTCAACAGGAAAATATCGCAATCCTAAATATATATGCCTATAACTGCAGCTCCCAAGTTTATAAAACAATTACTACTAGATTTAACAAATGAAATAGACAGCAAAACAATAACAGTGGGGGACTTCAATACTCCACTGATGACACTAGACAGGTTATTAAGACAGAAAGTCAACAAAGAATCAATGAATTTGAACTCTACCCTAGAACAAATGGAATTAACAGGTATTTATAGAACATTCTACCCAACAACTGCAGAATATACATTCTATTCATCAGCATATGGAACTTTCTCTAAGATAGACCATATGATAGGCCACAAAATGAGCCTCAATACATTTGAGGGAATTGAAATTATATCAAGCACTCTATCAGACCACAGTGGAATAAAACTGGAAATCCACTCCAAAAGCAACCTTCAAAACCATGCAAATACATGGAAATTAAATAACCTGCTCTTAAATGATCATTGGGTCAACTATGAAATCAAGATGGGAATTAAAAAATTCTTCAAACTGAATGCAAATAGTGACACAACGTATCAAAACCTCTGGGATACAGCAAAGTCAGTGCTAAGAGGAAAGTTCATAGCTCTAAATGCCAACATCAAAAAGTCTGAAAGAGCATAAACAGACAACCTAAGTTCACACCTCAAGGAACTGGAGAAACAAGAACAAAGCAAACCCAAACCCAGCAAGAGAAAGGAAATATACAAAATAAACATTTAGCAGCGCTAAATGAAATTGAAACGACAACAAAAAACAATACAAAAGATAAATGAAACAAAAAGCTTGTTCTTGAAACCAGCTTAATAAAATAGATAAATAAAATTGATTGAACACTAGCAAAATTAACCAAGAAGAGAGAAAATTCAAATAAACTCAATCAGAAATGAAATGGGACATATTACAACTGACATCACAGAAATACAAAAGATCATTCAAGGCTACAATGAACATCTTCATGCGCATTAACTAGAAAACCTAGAGGATGCGGATAACTCCTTGGAATCATATAACCCTCCTATCTTACAACAGGAAGAATTAGATACCCTGAACAGAACAATAGCAAGCAGCGAGATTGAAATGGTAATTAAAAAATGTTTTATATTTCAGATCTCTGTATTTGCTTCTCTAATTTTTACTCCAAATATACAAGATATGTTTAGTGTGTAGGAAGTGAGTATAAGTTTGATGTTCACATAAGAAGTAGTATCCAAGGAGAGTATGATTGAATTGTGACCTTATGTGTCATTTATTTCATCAGGAGTGAGCCAATGTTTTACCTTTTGAGGTGAGCAGATTGCTTGAGGGGAGTTAGAGTCCTTACATATGTCATCAGCACACCATTTTCATGGACTGCTGGGCAGAATTTAGACAGATCAGGGAAGTGATGAGAATGGCTAGAAGAAGGGTAGAAAGGGAGAGACATAGGTGAGAATGACAGACATTCAGGAGGTGCATCAGCGGGAATAAGATACGGCGCCACAAAAAAAGACCCAGAGAATAATATAAAGCCATATTTACAATTTACAGACATGCAAAACTACTCAATATATTGTTTAAGAGTACAGAAAGTTGAAGTCAAGCTACAAAGAATAGCAATTGATTAATAAACATAAAATTCAGCATAATGGCTACCGAGGAGGTGGTTTTTTGATACAGGGTGTGAGGGCCCACAGAAGAAGGCTAAGGTAAATACTACTCTGTTTCTTAAGACGAGTGATGGCTATGCTGGGATTCTTTTTTTTTTTTTTTTTTTTTTTTTGAGACGGAGTTTCGCTCTGTCGCCCAGGCTGGAGTGCAGTGGCCGGATCTCAGCTCACTGCAAGCTCCGCCTCCTGGGTTCACGCCATTCTCCTGCCTCAGCCTCCCGAGTAGCTGGGACTACAGGCGCCCGCCACCTCGCCCGGCTAATTTTTTGTATTTTTTAGTAGAGATGGGGTTTCACCGTGTTAGCCAGCATGGTCTCGATCTCCTGACCTCGTGATCCGCCCATCTCGGCCTCCCAAAGTGCTGGGATTACAGGCTTGAGCCACCGCGCCCGGCCGGGATTCTTTAATTAATTCTTTTTCTGCTTCGAGTACACATTTTCTGTATTTCCTCTAGTGAGTCAGATATTTTATTTTATTATACTAAAATAGGAAAAGTAACCAGACATAGAAACCTTAAGTTATACTGATCAATTTGAGAGCCTGGGCTACAGTACTGAACATTTTCTTATAAGGCTCCTTCTTATTTTTATTAAAAAATTGAAAAAATGTTTTTAATAGGAAGTTCCTATAAAGAAAGAACAGCTGCCTTGATCCCCAAGTTCAAATCCCAAATCTCAGAGCCTCTTTCATCCATAACCACATCCCCAGGCTGCTCTTCCCTAAAGCCGGGCCACTCCACTCACCTGGGGGCTCCAGTCCTCCCTGTTTCTGCTCATCATAGCTGCACATCTGGGCTGTCAGTCCCTGAGCGGCCAACAAGATCAGAAGTGGGGTGAACACAGCAGATGGCCAAGGCAGTGGAGACCTGTTTACTGTCACCATGGGAACCTCTGAAGGTGCTTTAAGCAGGTGGAGCCGAAAGCTGGGGGCAGAGTCAGAACAGCTGCGGCAGCCACACATTTCTGACCCCTCCCAACCTAGTAATATTGGGAAGCCTTTCTGCTTGGCTCTTCAGATCCAGCTCACCCCTCTGTCCTGGAAATGAGCCTCAATTAGTTTCACTCCAAAATTTGGGACATCTGGCTCTCCAGGGCAGATGGTGGTGAGATGGGTGAGAAGGAAGCAAGGGTGGAGGGAGATAAGGGCTGTCGCTGGGTGGGTCTCCATGGATCAGGGGCCACTGGAGAAGAACTTCCCGTGATGAAATCACAAGTGGGGGTGGGGAAGCATGAGGTCACAAGGGTCAGATTGTGACCACCTGGAGTGAAGCTGGGGATTTGTCAGCCAGGCCGAGGGGTTTCATAAAAGGCCGGTTGCCAGGGGGTGATCCCAGCAGAGAGAGGCTGGACATGAAGGGATGGGGTGATGGTATGTCAATTGGGCTCCAGCTTCTGCTCCAGGACCTTTTCATGGAGGCTTATTTCCCAGGTCCTCCCCCAAGGACACCCCTCTCCACGTTCTCAACCGCATCCTCCCCTGAGTCTGAGGCTCCGACCACAGTCTATGGTCTACAGCTTCCCTCTCCCCAAGTCCCAACTCCAGCTTTCTCAGTTCCTGGCTGCAATGGTCCTAGGCCCTCCACTCAATTTCCAAACCTTTTGCCTGGCACCACCTTCCCTACCCAGAGCTTTGGCCTACCTGTCAATCCTGCCCTGTATGGCCCCTTAGCCTGGAAATCCATAGGACTGTGATGAAGATGACTGCTTGCATTTTCTGAATCACTTTGTCGATGAGACATGCATCGTATTAGAGCTAACTAAGCTTCACAGAAAGGTCGTTTTGAAGTTGACACTGAGGAAGATATAGGTGCTCTAGGATCAGTATGTGAGGCTGCCACAAACATGCTGTAGTTTGCACATTCTTGCAGAGAGGTTGCAGTCTGCTTGGGAGAGAAGCCTCGAAAACATGGCTGGTGTCTTGGCAGGGTTTGCTCTGGCCCCCAGGAGGGTGTGCAAACAGCCTTCACAACAAGGTATCTTGCCTCTTAACCACTAGAAGAAACTGATGCCATGAAACTTTGAAAAATCAGAAAGCAAATCCACAAAAGAAGAATCTCTGAAGATAGCAGAGCCCAGTGAAGATAAATGACATCACTCATAGGAGGGAAATAGTGGTATCAACCTAAAGGGGGTCGCTGCCCTGTGCGCTGGAAGCCAACACTATGACAACGGGTTTTTGAGAAAATAAAAACTTTACACTGAGATTTAACCCCTAAAGAGACAGGAGTCAATCTCATCTTGTCCCTGTGTTGGTTCTAAGGCAGTATTTAGAAAGATTTATGGGGTAGATACTGGGATTAGCAGGTGATTGTAGAAGGGAAGCAGAGTCTGAAAAGTCCTCAGGCATGTGCAGTTACCTCTTGTGTTACCTCATGAGTCATATGTGCAAATTTGGGAGGAGTGAGAGTGAAAGAAGCAGGCTGGAGTGCAGTGATGCTATCTTGGCTCACTGCAAGCTCTGCCTCCTGGGTTCACGCCATTCTCCTGCCTCAGCCTCCCGAGTAGCTGGGACTACAGGCACCCACCACCATGCCTGGCTAATTTTGGTATCAACCAGTTCTTTTATCAAATAAGCAGAGAGAGTTTCAGTGGGTTTTTTTTTCTTTTCTTTTTTTCATCTGCGATTCTTCGAAGCAAGAATTTCTGTTAGTCATTATGAACTCTTTGGGACATTGTTTCAACAGAAGGCCTTGAAGCATCACAGACATGTCTTACAGTGAAAAAATTCTGGGCACATTATTATTGCTCTTTTATTCCTGACATATCTACTCTTTATAAAGAGAGGATATGAAGTGTCTCAAAAGCAGGCTAAGAAGAATATAAAAAACATCGCAAGAGAAATCTAGATAATTTTAAACAAACTACCAGATTATATTTTATTTAAATCCTGCATGTACTTAAAAAAAAAACTACAGAAAAAAAGAAAGAAAAATGCAATAATCAAAATTACAGAAAAGATAAAAAATACACAGAAAAAAATCAGTAATTAGAAGGGAAATTACACAAAACGGAGTGGTCTTATAAATTCCACATTAGAAATTCCATGATAGTGCTCTTAATAAGAAAGCCCATGCAGTTCTATTGTCGCCTGGGGGAGGGGGACAGAAATAATTTATGCAGAGAGAATGAAAGTGGCCACCTGAGTAAGGTCCTTAGAAAGTAAACCATCAGCTCAGCTTTGATGGCCATCTCCAGAAACATTCACCAAACACTTTCAAAAAGACATCATTCCAGCTGGGGGGCCTCTTTGGTCCTTACATGGACATGGAGGAATTTCCTACCATCTCTCCACAATGATTCAACTTGTGATTTCTTTCTCTTCTGGAAATGGAAGGTATATACCTCAGGTATAAGCTCAAACCTGAGGAAGAGACTCCATTTAGTACCAGTGAATCATCAAAATACTCAGTAAATTAATGATCTCAGAGCTGTGCCCTCTTTTGACCACAGCTATCGCCTTAAGCAGTCTGGATTCTTCTAAACTGAAGAGAGATTCTTTTCACATTGATGCCCCTGACATTGGGTTTTCCTTACAAATGTCCAGTGTGATCCCACCAACTGCAGGATGCCCACCCCTGCATAGTTCTTTGAGACCCTCTCTTGTCTGTGGGAACCTGAGAGCCTTCCAGCCCACCTCACAGCCCTGCTAGCCCACATCCTTAAGAGTGGCATTCCTGGATTCACCACATTGAAAAAGAGAAAGTAGCCCCCAGCATGTGAGAACTGGACTGTTACTGTTAGATGTGGTGTTGCCAGGATCTGGCCTGGTACTCAACAGCTAGGTAGTAAAGTTCTCCTGTTGAACATAAAAAAGATATGAGCATTAGACAAGGCCACTCTCTGACCATAATGGATCAAGAGAAAATAAGACCAATCTGTAATATTTCTGAATGCAGAAAAAACATAAAAATTGCTCAAACCACAAAAATGGCCAAACATTTTCCTCTCCTGGTCATAATATGAGTAACTGACATTTGTTTAACAATCACAGCTTTAAGATCACTCTCCTGTTACTTTTTTGTATAAGATTTATCAAGATAACCAATCATGGAGTGCCTCCACTACCTAATAGTATCCAAAACAAAGCAAAGCTCTGCTTCCTGAATTCTCTCCAAAAAACCTCACACAAGCTAAAATCCTATATGTATTTTGCCTGTTGAGATATCAAATTATCTTTGGGTGGTAATTTAACGTACAATTGAGCTCTAATATTTTATTGAAGCACATTTGTGTTTGGTTTTTCTAAATACGGGGTCTTCTGGTACTTTTGTTTGTCTGATCAGTTTTGTATTGTTCCTGAGTGAATTTGTTTTGTCCTGATACCAGCCTCTGTGGTTCTTCTGCTTCTTTAAGATATTGTGTGTTGTTTGTCTATTAGAAGAAATTTATTTGGGAACAAATTTACATAGCCTTGATTTAAAAAATGAACAGAGCTTTAGAAATCTGTGGGATAACATTGAGTGAACCTATATATGTGAAGTGGGAGAGAAAAGAAGAGAGAAAGAAGAAAAACTATTTGAATAATGACTAGAAACTTTCAAATTTTTATCAAAATCATCAACTTGAATATCCAAGAATTTCAATAAATAAGAAGAGAATAAATACAAATAGTTTACATCTAGATGTTTTGTAGACACACTGTTGCAAGCTAAAAATAAAGAAAAACATATTTAAAGCAGCAAGGGGAAAAGCCACACAACAAACCTCATCATGTACAGGGGAGAAACTGTACCTTAATGGTTAAGTTCTCATCAGAAACAATGATGGCCAAAAGGCAACGGGATGGCATATTTTAAGTACTGAAAGAAATGAAACTTTGCCCAACATTGGCTCTATACCCAGCAAAACTATTACTCCAAAATGAAGTTACAATTCAAACATTCTTAGAGAAAGACTGAGAGAATTGATTGAAACCATACTTGCCTTATAAGAAATGCAAAAGGAATTATTTCAGGCTGAAAGCAAATTATGTTAAACAATAACCCAAAACCAAAGGAAGAAATGAAGAGTATCAAAAATGGTTAATATGTGGATGTGGATTCATAGATTTTAAAAAAGGTATGTTTCTAATTCCTTCTCTTCATGTCTCAAAAACGATACATTGTATTATTGTAATTAAAACATATTTCAATGACAATAATAGCACAAAGGAGGGAAGAAATATATTAGAATAAAATGTTTATATTTTACTGTAATTAAGATAGCATTAATCTGCAGTAGACTGTAATGACAGTTGTATTTTAATCTGTACAGCAGCCATTAAAAAATAACACAAAAATAGTAAAAAGAAAATTAACACAGAATTTAAAAATTACTTAAGAAATATTTAACAACAAAGAAGCCCCTCAGTAAATACCAAGAATAAAAACCACAGGAGGCATGTAGGAAACAAATGGTAAAATGACAGACATACATGCAATCATATCACACGAATATAAACTGAACACCCCAATCATAAAGCAAAGACACCAGATGGTATATAAAAGCATGCTCAGACTACATGGTTTCTACAAGAGACACAGCTTAAAGACATAAAGAGATAGAAGACAAAATAGAAAGATATCATGCAAATAGTAACCATAAGAGAGGTACAATGGCTACAGATATCAGAATAGATTTTAAGATAAAAAATATCATTAAATATGAACAGGGACATCTCAATGATGAAAGCTTAACATATCAAGATGATAAAACAATTATAAATGTGTATGTATCTCCAATAATAGTCAGATAGTTCATAAGACAAACACTGATAGAATTAAAATAAAATGTGCCATTAGAACATTAAATATAGCTGGAGAATTCAATACACGATTTTCAGTAATTGCTAGAATATGCAGACTGAAAATTAGCAAAGATACAGAAGACTTGAACAACACTAACAACCCAGTCGACTTTACGAAGGTATATGGAACAGTCCACTCAATGACTGCAGAGTACAATTTTTTTTCAAGTGTACATGTGCATATGTAACATATGTCTCCTAGATGCAGCACATGCTAAGCCATAAAATAATCATGCTAAATTTTAAATGATCTAAATCATACAATGTACTTCAACTACAAAATTAAATTAGAATCCAACAACAGAAACAATTCCAGGATATTTACAAACATTTTGAAATTATCAACACATTCCTAAATAACTAATGGGTTCAAGAAGAAATCAACAGAGGATAAGAAAATATTTCAAATTCAATAAAAATAAAAACCTAATATCAAAATTTATGCAATGCAGTGAAAGAAGAGATTAAAGAAATAGTTTTAAATGCCTATGTCAGGAAAGAATCAAGGTCTTACATTAATAACCTAAGTTTTCTCCTTAAGATTTTAGAAGCAGACAGCAAACTAAAACCAAAAGCAAGCATAAGAATGGAATTAATAGATTAGAGTGGAAGTTAATGGGCTTGGAACAAAAAAATGAGGAAAATTAATGAAACTAGAATTGATTCTTCGAAAAGATCAACAAAATTGACAAAGCTTTACTAAACTGACCAAAAAATCTAAACCAAAACAAAACACAAATTTGTAAAATCAGGAATGATAGAGGGGATATCACTGTTAATACTATAAACATTACAAAGTTTAGAAAGGAATATAAGAAAAGATTATGTATGACTTTATGCCAAAAAAGTAGGCAACTTTGATAAAATTGACAAATTCCTTCAGAGACACAAGGTACCAAAGCTGACTGTAGAATAACTGGAAAATCTGAATAAACTTATAAAAAACAAGGAAATTGAGGTAGCAATCAAATTTTTCCAACAGAGAAAAGTCTGGACACAACTTGTCTGGTGAATTCTATCAAATAATTAAAGTAGTAATATAAACCCTTCACAAGTTCTTTTACAAATAGAAGAATAAGGAATACTTTTTAACTCATTCTATGAGGCTAGTGTCAACCTTGATACAAATGCAAAGATATATCAAAGATAAAACTGAGGATAAGTATATCCTGAGTATATCCTCAGGACAAAAACTCAAATATCCTTAAGAAAATATTAGCAAACAGAATGCAACAACATACAAAAAGGATTATACACAATGGCCAAATAGGATTTGATTCAGGATTACAAAGTAGGTTTAACATTCAAAAATCAAAACAATATGCCACATTAGAATAAGGAACATAAACCACACGATTATCTTAATAAATGGAGGAAAAGTATTTGAAAAAAAATCTAACCCATAAATGATAAAACTTCAACAAACTAGTGAAAAAAA